TTTAAGAGTGAAATAATATTTAGTTTTTAGCTGTTGCCATTTCCCGGCTATATTTTACCACGTGGTGGTAGTTCTGTGATGTGGTTTACTGGTCACTGGAAAGTTGACATCACCAAAAGCATTTCATTCACAATCTAAGATTTTCATGATGAATTACAGACCTGCAAGCGAATAACTGGAATTGCACAGCTGTGACTTGTGTGCTGCTGTGATTGAATTTTTATCGACAGTGAGGACTGTCTATGAAGGAACTGTTGCATTCAGCATCCATGTGATTATGATTAAGTTTTTAACATAAGACTCCTCTTTCCCTTTATAAACTCACAGTTGTAAAAATTTCCAGACTCATTCTTTGTGTGCGTTACTATTATGTGCCTCAATAGAGTGCCTGGGAGCACCGGCCACAGAGCAGTGCCCATCGAGAGCCAGATTCTATTTTTATTCTTAAATAAGTTTTTAGGCAAGCCTCTGAAAATGAAGAAAGCCTCTGAGCTGAAGAAATCTGTTTTTTGCTTAGCGATACTGCTGACCCAAATCAGGTAGGAAGCTGGAGGGCTGTGGGCACACAGTCGATACCTGTGAGAGGAGAGGGAGTGGCTCACATTTGAAGGAGAAAAAGCAGCAGATGACTGCAGAGGCCATGCTAGCTGGATACCAGGGTGCTGTGCTTGCAGGGGCTACTTCAGATCAGGAAATGTTGGTCAAAGCTCAGTCCTCTTGACGAAGGCAAATAAAGCCTCAGATCCACAGAAATATTATAGTTCTACAGCAGGTAAGGCTAAGGACCTCAAAAGCAAGTAGTTTGAATAAACTCTGGCTCCAAAGTCTAAAGAACAAGTGGTGGTGCAAGGCAGGACACACCATAGTTGGCTCTGCCATAGGTACTTTGTGTCTGTAATACTAAATGGAGAAAAAAATGTGCTTTGCTTAGTGAAATGATGACAGATGACTTGAATACTCTCCAGAAACAACTACACTGAGCAAGAAGGTGTCGTCTTAAGGTAGTTACCCCTTGATGTGACCCTTTACGTTTCAATTTTTGCAAAACTAAGATTATCGCTAATGAGCAATCCCCATTGAGGCCTCAGGTTCTTGCTCAGAAGTGACATGGGAAAAAGGCTGCGGAAACCCCCGAGCTTGTTCTTCCAGATTTTTTCTTTTAAAGAAAAGAGGCCCATGCAACTCTATCTTCTCTGAAATGTCTGTCTGAACATTCATCTGAGCGAAAAAGTAATTTTAGCATCCATGACACACAGCTTCTGCTGCCATCCGATTGCTCAACGGCACCAAGAATAAATATTTCCTTAAGCCTGAGGACAGGAATCTGAATGCTGCTGGTTCCCCCTTCAGAAGCACCTGTGTGTGTGTGTTTTTTCAAGGTCTGAGTAACACACTGGTGCTTTGTAGCTCTGAGTCATCGAAGCTCTCCGACCCTACAAGCACACTCTTGCTTAGCGTCCTTTTCAACAAATGGAGGAGGAAAAAAAAAAGAAGCTGAAAAGGCGGCCTGCAGCTCGACACCAAAACACAATCCTCCTGCAAACCTTGACATGAGCATGCCTGTTTTTCCAAAGAAGTCAATGGCACTATTCATGTGCTTAAAGGTAAGCAGGTGTTGGCATGCTTTACCGAACCGCATCCACCAAGCCCAGAGGAGGTTTGTCTTTTTTCCCCTGGATTCTTCCCCTGTCATATATACTTGTTCTGAGGTAATGTTAATCAAGCGGGAAAGCTGACTGTTTTTTTAGGAACTGGTGCAAACTTGTGTGCTTCGCACACTTTTTAAGTGACAAATTAAATTTACACAGGATACCTAGAGCTCTTTGAAGAGCATTTGCACTTGGTGGTGGTATTTAATGAACAGCTTCACCAATAGTGAGACCATTAAAGGAATGACTAGGCTGTTTTTTGTCTTATTTAATCACTTCGGAGGAGGTTGACACCTTCACATTCATTGAGGCCCCTTCTCTCTCTAGATAAGAGCTCAGCGATATCCAGATCACTGACCCACAGGCCAGTGCCCGATGAGAGGAAGGATGTTCCAGGGGTTATGGGGCGAACTTGAGACTTGGGAGACTCGGTCTGGTTTCCTGTCACCTCCGTAAAGCCAGCCGGCCTCCGGGTGCGAGTTCCTCATCTGCGAAATGAATTGCACTTCCCCGTCTCAGAAGGACACTGTGGTGGGAATGTGCTGGTGATGGCGAAGCGTCAGGTCATTGTGCTGCCAGCAGCATGAGTACTTCTCAGCCCCCAAGGGAAGCTGACGTACAGTTTGATGATGAGACACGGCACGTTCCCCTGGCAGGGGGTTAAACAAGGGATAGCTTGACTTCAGTGGGGCTGTGTTAGCAAAAGGGCCCAAGTTCACTGGATTGGCTCCCACCCTAAGAAAACCCCAGGTTGCTTTTGTTTCCCTTCCTGTCCTCTCTCCCCCCACCTTTCATGCTCGGCAGGTCCAGCCGGTCCATGCCAGGCCAAAATTCCTCGCCTTCGCGAGGAGGCTGGGTTCACGTGGGGGTTAGCACGTGGACACCGAGAGCCTTGTCTTTATGTCGTTGAGCATAAATCAAAGGAGGGAGTATTGCAGCTCTGTGAATGTGTTGGCTTGTGTGAAAAGGGGAAGGACACAGTCGCAGAAGAGACTACTTATTGACATAGAGTGTAGATTTATGCAGCTGCAGCTGTGGGTGTACCGTAACAATAGCTCTCTTTATACGGTAAAGCAGGGAGGTATGAAACGATTTCCAAAAGGTAGCCGAGCAATTAGCCTGCTCCCCTAGCCTCGGCGCTAGGGGAGCGCTGCTTCCCCTCAGGCTGAGTTGTGATTCTCAGAAATTATTCCAGACCCTTTAGCTGAATGCTCTTTAGCAGATTTGCATATCCTTCCTTAAAAAGGATGACTTTGCCCTTGTTTGACACTTCAGTAATTTTTTAGTCTTTTCTTCTAAAGAGGAACCATCAAACTGGGGCAAACGAGGAAGAAGAGGACATTCTGTTACAAAAAGCGAGTGACTGGACCTGTCGTTGGTCTCATCACTTTTGTTGCCTTTTCGGATGGCTGGGAATAGCGAATGAGTTGCTCAAGACCTTCTCTCTGCTGCTCAGTCCTGCAATGTCGCCTCACCCCCGTGCTGGCCAGCTTAGTGTTTTAGCAGACACCGCCTGAAGTGCATTACAGAAAATGATCTCCTTCTATTACAGGAGTGTTTCCAGCATTTCCCTTGGGACACAGAGCGGTATCACTGTTCAGCTGCCAGGCTGTCCCGGCTTTCCCTTTCCTAGATTGCCTCTCACCTTGCCAACACTGATCGTTATCCTGTGCCCCTCCTGGAAGGTGCTGCACAAAGGCAAAACACAATCTTTGTTCCAAAAAATGTATAACCTAATAATGAGAAAGGTACTGCTAATGAATGCAAAGAAAGAGACAAGGAAACAATGAGACAACAGAAGATTTCTTGCAAGACTGGACTCCTAATTTGACCTGGGATTGCTGTCATCATAAAAAAATGGCTATAAGGTATTTATAACCAAAAAGTACCTGACTTGAGGTACTCACTCTGTTCCAGACACAGCTAGTGCAGTTTTGATAAATCCAAGTTATGCACCAACCCATGGCTCCAACTCCAAGCCAAAAGGTGGTGTTTTAAAGAAAAATTTCAACCTTTTTGTTTATCTTTAAGTTACAAGACCCTTCCCAGCATTAGAAGAGGACAAGGTGCTTAGGAAAAAATATTTTCTATTTAAAGAGATTGCTATTGCTGAAACTAGAGAAGTATGAAAGAGGAGAAGTAAAGACTTGGAGGAAACAAGGGGAGAACGCTAAGTGGAGGAATGGAAACCAGTATCAGTAGGCACAGGGCTGTCATATGCTATTAGATGACAAAAGCTCCCTTTAACCAGCAGCAGGAGCTTTATTTAGCTTTCTCCAAGTAAATAAGATTTTAACAACTGTATCCAATAATGGATTCCTTGCTACAGGCCAGATTTTGAATCATCTTATCTATTGCAAGATTAACAACTGGTTGTAAGGTGTTGAGTTTGCCTGGAGGACCGCTGCCAGCAGACTCCTGGGCAGCCAGAGCAGGGTCAGCGACGGGCTGGGCATGGTGCTTGGCTGGCCAGGATCCCCAGCACAAGCCATGCCCTGAAGACCATCCGATGGAGCCACGTGCTCCATCGTGGGCTGGGCTGCAAGTAGGACCACTGTGTGTACAGGCAGCTGAGAACAGGGAGGGGATGCAAAGGCCCATAAGAGCTAGAGGCAACACTGCTACCTGCTTTGCAGATGCCCTCTCATGTAACAGTTTCAGGTGGTTTGGGAGGGTGGTTTGTGTTGGTTTTGTTTTTTGAGAAGCAAAAAGCTGTTGGCTTAATTGTATCACCTCTCTGGATGGCTGCCTCAGTTCCATGAGACCATCTCTGCAGGACACAGTGGGAGCCATAAAAAGCTGCAAAATTGAAGTCCGATATTTTCTGGGGCTAGCCAGGAGTATTGTGTCTCCCAGTGGGAAGCTGGGAACTTCTTCTTTTTCAGGAGTATAAATCGTTCACCTTACTTGTTTGCTTAATGCTATACATTAAAACTCAGTTGCCCAGCTCTTGGTCTGAGGTCATGTCTGTGGAAAAGACTACAGAAGTATCTCTATGCCAATTTTTTTTCTTTACAATTGTTTTAAAGTCATAGATTTCAAATAATAGAGTACTGTAAGAAAAGGTTATATAGCAGGCCAAAAGTTCATGACAAATTGCAAGATTGTGTTATTTATTTATCACCTGGCTGTATTTCAAGTCCTTGTGTGTACAGCATCAAGTACATATTCTTAGCGTGTCTACAAAGCACCTTTGAAGTCATAAATGTTGAGTAATTTTTACTGCTTAGCTATCCAAAATGCTATACAGAAGAAATGTTTTCCTCCTCTCTGCCAGCACTGTGACTAGGTAGGTCTGAAGCTCTCCACGTACGTTGGTTCTCATGTCCTCTCCCTCCTTCTCCCCTCCAGTTGTCACTACAGATCACTCCGCCGTGTGAAAGCGAACAACACTATGAATACTCTGGACGGTGCTGCACAAAGTGTGAGCCAGGTATGTGAGCACTGGGCTGTACCAGCTTCATAACTGAAAAGCTCATTAGAAACAGCTCTGTGGGGTCAGTAAGGCAGCTTGCTCTTGTGACTCCGCTAATCCGTTGGCACATACCCTCGCAGGTGCATGATTTCAGGCTTACGAGTGCCTTCTAGTGCAGGAGTGGTCCTGCTGACCTCAGCAAAAGCCATAGCAGCTATTTTGTTGGGATAGCACTGAACCACTGCGGGAGACAGAAAGCAGCTTGATTCTCGTGTGTGTAGATAGCACTGCTCCCAGGCCATAAGCTTCATGGATGTTTCAGGGGCACACTAAATGGCGGCCAGACTGAGAAACTGAAAAGGTGGCAGGAAGAAATGGTTGTCCACAGCAGTACAGCAGTGTTAGCCCAAGCTGTTACTGTCCCTAAGCTCCTTAGACAGTTGGTGTGCAACTTGCAAACGACCTACTTGTCCTTCTGTCATTCACAGGAAAGTATATGTCTGCTAGATGCACTAGTACTTCTGATAGCATGTGTCAGTCATGTGGCCCAAACGAGTATATGGATGTCTGGAATGAAGAAGATAAATGCTTACTACATAAAATATGTGATCAAGGTGAGCTATTCATACTGAAGAACCTTTCAATCCAAATTAGTGAAGCACGAAGATAGGAAAGTGGATCTGGGGAAGTTGTTTTGTTCAGGTACCCGACACTGGAGGCTGGGCTTGCAGAAGAGCCTGGCGGAGAGGGAGGTCCCCAGACAGCAGAGATTCTGTGCTGTGCTGAGCACCGCGACCATAGTCTCCATGCTGCTGATAATCACTGTCTTCACTGGGGCTGTTCACTCCTGTGAGCTGGATCTTAAAGGTTGTCCTGTTGCCCAGCATAGTGTGGATTCACTTCCCCTAACACGTTCGTTTCGCCCTTGCAAAAGCTCTGTTTATTTTCTACAGCAGCTACAAGGAAAAATATTGCTCAGGAGTGCAATCAGTGAGGAGCCCCGTGCCGATCAAGGGTCTCCCATGCTTCTTGAAAGATACATTTCCTCTAGCGTGAATGGTTTTGCATCTGGCATTCAAGCAAAGCAAATAGGTAGAACAGGAGGTTCATAAACTTGAGGCTTATTATCAGAGATTTTCACTCCCATCTGCTTTCTCTTTTAGGGAAAGCTTTGAGAGAAGTGAACCCAGGGAACAGCACGTTCCAGCGGCAGTGTGCTTGTACGATGGGCTACCACTGGAATGAAGACTGTGACTGCTGTCAGCGAAATACCATATGTGCTCCAGGATTCGGAGTCACGCATCCTGGTAAGATACAGAAAGGGGACGTACAAAGTGAAGTGTCCAGCTCAGGCCTACTGGATGAGGCCAGCATCGTGTGGGTTGTGATGTTAGAGAGGATACTCTCAGATGACTGTCAACAGAAGATGCATATCTGAGTTATCATTACTACTGCATATAACCCACCTGGACTATTGGCGTTTTGAAGGCTTCTGCCTCTGCAGTTTAAATAGTATCTTGGATCAAGTGACTTTTGCAAGATACCACGTGGACATGGCAATGGTCGCAAGGTGCTCAGTGCATTTCTAACGTTTGCTGAGGTGTCTGACTGTGAGTCACTAGGACATGCATTGCTCCAGTATTCAGAGAAGTGGTCCATTGGGGATTGTTGCTGAGGTCAGATTTGAAATCAGTTTTTGTCCAATGACTTTGCTTTGCCATTTTATAATGTTATAAGCAAATTAAAAGTGATTAACACCTTTCAGGTAGTGCAAGTATTCTTTGTTTTAGATGACTTGTAACACAAAGGTTTATTACAGACACTTAATTTAGTCCTAAGTCTGATCGAAAACAAAATGCAGGTGTTTTATGGGTGGAAAATAGAGACGGTCAAGTTCAGAGTTGTAATGAACACTGTGATCGGCTGCGCCAAGCACGAGGAACCCAAAAAGCAGCACATAATAGAGTAATGGAGGATGAAATGCTGCATGGGCCTGGAGCACAGTGGTGCTGTTTTTTCTCCAGTCTAGCAAATCCTGATACAACATTTTGTTTACTGTGGCTTCATAGAAGTGACAATACCAGTTAGTGTTGCTGTCTGTGGCATAGCATCGACACGAGGAAGTTAATGGAAGGGGAAGGATATAATAGCTGTGTGTTATTTACAATAACTGCAAATGGTTCCTGGTCATTTCTTATTTTGATCATGTAGATAAGTGCTCAGGTGAGACTAGCATACTTTTTTCTGCTTACATGTGACTGTCATTGTTGCTCTAATGTATGGAGCGGGAGTATAGGGAGCGTAGTCACCTTCCCCTTACTTGAAAGGAACTCAGGGAAACTCAGCTATGAAGTTTTTCTTCCTTTACTACACACAGTGCAACAAGACAAAGACACAATGTGTACACCATGTCCCAGAGGCTACTTCTCAAAGGTTGCTTCATCCACCGACGAGTGTAAATCCTGGACCAAGTAAGTCCCTGTATCTTGCAAGAGGACCGCTCTAGCCACAAGGCAGGGAGAAGCTTGGGTGAAAGTGTTTTTCAGTGGGGTGTTTCAGGCTGTCTGCGGAGTGCACAGAGCATCTCTGTTGGCTATGCAGGGATGAAGGCATTCTCACGCTGGAGCTTGAATTCTCCTTGAGGGAGAGCGAGAGAGAGCATAACAACAGAACTGCTGAGCTAACACAGCTGAAAATAAAGAAGGTATCTGAGCTTCTTAAGGGTGGAGAAATGCAGGATAAATGTTGTACATTACAACAGAAAGTACTACTCTGCATAAGTGCAGGAGCCATGACAAGCTCCCTCTTTGAGAACCTAGCCTCTTTGTCCTTCTTTTTCAGCTGTACAGCTCTAGGAATGGCAGAAATAGTGCCTGGGACTGACAAGTCGGATGCAGTTTGCGCAGAACGGAAGATGCCTGCGCCATCGGAAGACGGTATGTGTCCTCATACAAATTATCTGTTAGAAAGTACCAGGGAGGAGGAGGGATGTGTTTACTAGGGTTTTTGGCTGGCTTAACTCCATTCCCATTGTGGGTGACTCTAGGGTGAGCAGCTGTAGACCAAGACAGCGCTCTTGGAAAATCTCACCTTTAAAGATTACTTTAAGCCTGGTGGCTCTAGAGCCCATGTCCACTACCAAGCAGAGCTTTACACCTCCCACTGAAACTGCATAACAAGCAGCATTGCTGTTATACCCGTGGCCTCCGTCACATTTACAGCTCTCTCATTTTTTTCAGCCTGCTGATTTCCATACATGCATTATCTGTATAAAGGCTAGGAGCTTCTCTCCATGCTTCTTTTATAGCAATGGATACAGTCTCAGCTGAACGTAGCTCTCCCTTCTTGCCCACTGCCCATTTCCCTGTCTGGTGTGGATATGGTACCAGAGAGGCTGCTTGCCTGGCATCCAGTGACCCTTCATAACCTGGGATAAAGGACAAATTTTGCCAGCTGAAGTCTGTAGCCTCCATGAGAGATATGTCCCCCGTCCCCTGAGGCAGAGCAAGCACAGCCCATGGGCTGCTGGCAGCTTGCAAGGCGACTTTCAGAGGAGCATGACTGGATCACACCTCTCTCAGACACCAAGACTCTGTTTTTTACGGAGATGGCTCGGTACTGGGTACTTTCAGTAACGCTGTTTGTCACAGAACTGCATGAGTGCTAGAGCTGTTGTCCTTATTATAGAAACTGAAAATCAAATAGGAAGGAAAAAACAAACACTGTCCTGTGGAAAAGTAGGTAAAATGAGCAAGGATTGTCATACTGCTGAGTACAAGCTGCATGTTGATGGCACTATCTTTTTTACATCCTGCAGGAACAAACAGGATCTTATATGTGTTGATTGTCATCTTGTTTTTTGTGGCACTAATTGGCATTGTCATCTTCATCATATACTACAAGAATAAGGGAAAAAAGCTGACAGGTACGTGATAGCTAATGATATTCATGAATGTGACAACTGCATGGCTCTCTGTGCACTCTGATTTCATGGGTAACAACCAGGTTAAGAAACTCAGGAGTTGTTTTGGAAGTTCTGTGCTATCCCTATATCTGTCCATATGGATATGCTTTAACTAGCGCAGAGCCAGGCTTCAAATTCCTTTCCTCTAGGCAGGGAACGAATTACACTTATGCATAATGCATATCGCTTGCTATCCTCCTGCAGCCCTGACCGTGCGGTGACCGCCCTCAGGGCGGATGCAACCACTGTGTGGATGAAGGAGGGCTGGTGCTGGGGGCTTTTATAGCAGCACGACTGCTCTGCACCACGTGGCACACCAGACCCCTTGGCCGAAGAAAAGCAGGGAAAGACTTACGGGGCTTTCACCACCTCCTGTCTCCTTCCCCCCACTTGCCTTCCTCTCCTGAAACCTGCATCTGGACAGGTTAAAATACGGTTTTCAAGATAAAGGCCTGATGTGTATTTGAAAACATGATGGAGGCAATGTTTTTAGCTGAAGGCCGAAGTTCTGATGAGGTATGGAAGAAATACTAGAAGGAAATGGAATAAACTGTACAAGTAGAAAAATAGGAAAATTCTAGCAAAGGCATACTGGATAACAGTGGGGCACTGAATATATTATGAATACAATGGAGTCACCTTCAACAGTTACTCAACTCTGTGTCAAGCCCTGGATCTCCTTAGTTAGGAGTTAGGACATACCCATATTGTTCTGTTCATTTTTTATTTTCTCCCGCTACACGTGGAAAATTTTTCCTAGTGTATTTTTTCCATCATCTCCTTTCTCAAGCCCTACCAATTTATGAAATGTTTTGGGAGCAGTGGAAGGGAAGACAGCAACCCTCTCTTCTAAAGTATATTTCAGCCTGTTTTTTAGAAATAGGCTGCCTCTGCCACACAAAACACGGGTTGTGCTAAATCTGGAATTCCTGGGATGGGCTGGAGGAAATGGTGACTCTCCTTGCAAACCAAATACTTACAATGCAAAGCAGGTTAGGGGGGAGTGCTCTTTATTTGACATTTCTATTGCCCTGCTGCTTTGCAGTGACAGTCCTTCATTGCCTTTGCGTGGTAAATCCTGCTAACCAGAGCCCCCGAGACTTGCAGGCTCAGGAAGAAGCTCTCCCTGCTGGGGGACTGATGGTAAATGTGCAGACTTAACATCAGAGGAACAGAGTCGTTGCTGGGAACTGGCAGCGGCTACAATGCTGATCTATCTTCAGACACACAAAACCAGCACAAGCTTCAAGTGTACATGAGACCTGAGCCCTACAAAATCTCCTGAAAGTATAAGCAGAAAACAAGAATTGCTAATTCTATTAAGTGGCAGTCTTTACCATAAAGCATTGTTGGACTTAAAGCTTTTCCTTGGGAGATACTCCGATTAAGTGAATTTCCCCATTAATTGCACCCTGATGAGGTGGAAGACGCTGTATTTGAGCCTGCCATTCCGTGGTTCCAGTGGCTTACCATCTTCTCTCCAGGCTCCTCGCTCCTGTCTGAGAATGGTCTTTGGGCCATCCATGTGACTTCTCTTGAAATAGACCGTACGGCTGTGAGCGGGTCGGTATCAGGCCAGTCATAGCTTGGTGTGACATATGACCAGGAAAGAAACCCCATTTGATGTGGAACACAGTTTAACTGTGGTCTATTTTAGGAGCTTGGAAACATTTGTTCCGCAGAAATATATCCCTGTTCCAGTTACAATGAATCCTCGGCTAGACCGATGCTGGGACACTTGAAAACAGTCTTGATGGTTTTCATTTAATATGATATTGCGGACTGTGGATGACTGTGGGTGTTTAGGTCTGTGGTTAACTTCAGTGCCTGCTATATGTTACAGCTACTCTTTTTGTTTTCCCTACAGCAGATCTACAGAATTGGGCTAATGAAGTGTGCAGCCAAATAAAAGGAACAAAGGTAAAGTTGAAGACACTAACATTTTCTCTCTGATTTATATTTTCCTCACGGCATTCCTGACACCGCTTCTGAAGTAGACTCCACGTTAATGTTTGGCTAAAAAGCAAGCTTTGACTTCCTCAAAAAATGCTTGCAGCTTTGGCTTTTTCAGTCTGGTTTTCTGTAAATGTGAGGCGTATGAAATCACCATTCTCAAATAGCTTCTGAACCTGCTTTCTGGTTTCAGCCAGTTTTAACAGTGGTAAAAGTCTCTGTGATGATTAAATATTTATGAGGAGAAAGTTAAACATGAGCCCACCGGTTGCTGAACACCTGAGACTGCCTAGGAGAGAGCCCTTCTAAATCCTAAGAGCAGGAACAGCTTAGTTGAGTTTGCACCTTTTTACATACCAGAGTCCTCACAGGGGAGAAACCTGGATTTGGGGCAATGCCAAGAATGCCAGACACGCAAGGCATTAAGCACAGAGCCATCAGATGAAGAAACTGGCGCTGAGACCCTTTCGTTCTAGGGCTCACAGACATCCCTCTTGTCCATTCGGCTGTGAAAAAAGTAAGACTTTCCAAGAGGTTTTGCTCCGGAAAAGCCCCAGATCACATGCTTGAAATACTTAGATGAGGGCACAGGTTCAAGTTCATGTGCACTGCCTGCTTCACACCATGGATGTGGACCAAGATGTCCCAGGTGCACGCTCCCCCAGCACCCCGCCTAGGAGCTCTGTCTAGCTTAGCTATTGAAAGACTCAAATTCCATTGCAACAACAACAACAAAACAAAAAAAACCCACACCTTTTTGAGCAAGCAGTTCCTCTTTTGTCTCATAAGTGTTCATACAAGCTCCTGCATTGGCAGCTGCTCAGATCTTCCAGGACAGCGGAGTGAATCAACAGCGATTAGTGGCTGGGAGCACTGCACTCTCTCCTCCATCCTGGAAGATCTGAACAGATGCTAGAAATGAAAGGTAGCAGTTCCCAAATGAATGTACATGGGTACATCATTACAGCACGACTTGCATGAACTGAAGGGAAGCCTTGAAGTATTTCCCAACCCTTTTTTGTGGAGCTACAACCAAAAACATAGCTTTACTTTGACAAGTACTGGCAACGTGATGTCATGGGCCTTTGCATTTGTTGTCCTAACGTTTTTCAGGTTAAAGCAACCTTGCCCACGTGACTTCTTTTTTTCTAGCCTGTCTTGGGCCCTCTGAATCAACCCAGTTTCTTTATTCAGTCATTACTGATAATAAAGATTCTGCTCCCAGTAAGGCCTTCGCAGATCAACAGCCCTTTCAGACACACAGATGATCTGGGGGGGTTCCAAACCTTATAAGCAGTTAGGTAGGTCTTATTGGTGGTCCGTAAGGAACAGTAGCTACCCTTCTAGATTTATTAACTCTCAAGTGCCTTCTTAAGAACGAGGGATAGTCCTCTCCCAAAATTAAATATTACTGCCTCCCAGGCCACCAGATTTTTTTTCTGAACACTGAGCCCAGCATCACTGGTCACAGTTTCACAGAAGAACAAAATTACACTTCAACTCTCAAATATAGCGGTGCTGCTCAACCTCAACCTCAAGCAGCTCCACACCAAGGAAGAACTGAGATCTGCCTGTTCTTTCTTCGTCTAGAAAATAACCTGCTGCTGATCTATTTATTAAACACATTTTTCTTTTGGCTTTCTTTCAGGAGCCCCCAAGGGATGCATTTGTTACCGTGAACACCACGAATGCTACTGTCCCCCACACCTCTGAAGGCATGTGTCTCCTGGGCCCTGCTGGCTCTCCTGCCCCTGGAAACTTGTGCTGCACCAGTGGCCACGCTCCTTGCAGGAACGGGAGCCCTGGCATGGTGCCCTGCGAGGCGGGAGGGAGCCTCCAAGAGTTTTCTGTGGTAACTGAGACTGGTGATGACCATTTCCCACCAGTTCCCACAGAAGATGAATACATGGACAAGGATCTCTATACCACTGATTATTTATCTTTACTGAGTCGGACTGCCAGTAAAACAGTGTCATCATTTTCAGAACCAATGGAGGCAGGGGAGAACGACAGCTTAAATCAGTACTTTTCAGGGATTGGAAGCACAGAGGACATATCAGTCTCTCAAGGCTCTCACCCTTCCTCCGACACAGGTGGGGCACACACTGCCACGGACAAACTTCTTCAGAAATCTTGCCAACATGCCCACAGTTGCCTGAAGGAAACAGGCAACAAAGACACAGATCGTTTTGCAACAAACTATGACTCAGAGAAGGTCTGTGTGAGGTGTGGCATTTCGTACAGGGAATCTCCCAGAAAGTGGAGCAAACCCTGTTGTGCTGTAGCTGACAGTGCCTCCACCTCCCCAGAAACTGGATCCTGTGCACACTGCACCTGTGGCTTGAATTTTCTCTCTGCTGGTCAGAGCACCCTAGCGAGTGATCATGGTATGAAAGATGCATCTTCGGATAGTACCAACATGAAGTACCAGAACGCAAACAGAAGCACTTCAGGGACAAACAGCAGCACTTCAGACCTCCCTCCAGCATCTGGTAAGTCTATTAGGCTTTACCCATACACAGTCGTATGAGATTATTCTCTATGCTAGCTCAGTATTATTCAGAGGGTCTGATTTAGGAGAAGGAAAGAACAAAATGATCCCTTTTCACTTAATCGCCCTGAATCTAATCTGAAAGGCAAAAATGAAATAGCAAGACCGTTTGGTTTGTAGTGGATTCTGCAAATAGGATGAGCACTGTGAGGGACCATTGTCCTGCCCTGATCTAACCAGCAATGCAGTATCCATCTTCTGGCTGTCACTGCAAAGGCTAGTCAATTCTGTTACTTAAGTATTTTGGTGATAGCAGGTGTGTGTATTGGAGAAAACTTAAAAGGAGGAGAGTATAGGGACCTAGAGGCTGAGTCAAGAAAGGATGCATAACTCTCAGACAGACAATTTTCCATTCAACAGTCTGCACGCACATTTTTGCCACTAGGTTTAAATCCAGTTACATTTGTACAGCAGTCAGTGAAACTCCAGCTGGAGCTGTAACCTGGTGGCCACAATTGGGTCTAAGAGATTATGTTCAATTTTCTGCTTTTAGCTCTTTCTCTTTGTTTTAATTTGCTAGGATATGTGTTCACCTGAAAATAATTTCATACAGACATTGTTTCTCCATACACAAGTGCTCTGTCCCCTGAACGACTCTGAAACACTGTTGCCGATTTACTAATTGACTACCAATTTACTGATTGAGTAAATATATCAAAATTGTCAAATGAAAGCAGGGAAAAAAAAAAATCACTGAATCAAAACTAGCAGAAGGGAAGTTATGAGCCTTTTCTGGATGAAACCTTCTTCCCTCAGACTTTTTTTCAGTATAAAAGTCTGCAATCTGCCTGTCATGTGTTATTAGTCATTTTAGATTACAATCTCTTAAAGTTAGATGCTCTACTTTTATTTATGTCAATGCACTGCCAAGCATAATGAGACCTTAGTTTTGACTGGGACATCTAAGTATTACTGTAATACACACAGCAGTCATAAGCAGTTGCCTTTCTTTAAAACCATGTTGTGCCTTAAAGTTTCTTACAGAGACATTCTCGTCAGGCTGCCAAAGCCCAAAAGCAACACTTTTGAAGGCCTTCCCCTCTCAACATGCACGCCATGTGGGAATCTGAAAGTGTGTAACATTCGTCGTTCTAAGAGCAGATACTCTTTCTGGTGCTTCAGTTTCCTGAAATTCTGACACAGTTTCACCACCTGGTTTGTACAAAATTCAGTAGTAGTAAAGAGAATGTAGATTATCCTTTTTTGTTGTTGTTGGAAGGTCACTCTGAGGTACAACCGAAAATCAAGTCATATTTGGCACTGCATAAGTACTGCTTTTCTTTCTAAATCTGACATGAAGAGGAAGAGAAAATACTAAGGAACAATAGGGCAAACAGGAGAGCTTGGATTTAAGCGACGTGCTAGAAAGTGCCATCTTAGATCTGCAGCACAATTCTTTATATGGGATTTTAATTGCGTCTGTGCCTTCGGGTACGTACATGCTATAGTGCCATCTGGTGAAACCTGAGCACAGATACAGCGTTCCTAATTTGCCATTTTTTAGGCAGGCTGCCAGCAGGTACTGACTGAGCTGTGGGCAGTATGAGTGTGGGTTAGTTAATCTGTAGGTAACGTGGCTTGCTGGTAGAGGTTTTTTTCTGTCTGCAGAATGGCCGTGCCCCGCTGGCAACACCTGGTTGCATGAGGAGTAAGACAGGGCTTAGCCATAGCTTCCACACTGAAGCACCCCAGCCACGCTGGGGCTGCACGTGGAGCTGCAACGGCATCGGTCATTTTGCTGGGCCTTGTGAAACGCCCAGTTGGAATAAATGTGCACGCAAAATAACTTTCTGTAAAGCTTCTCAAAGCAATTGAAGCCAACAGAATTTGCACACAGTCATGCTAAGACAGAATGGTACAAAAGAGGGTGGATGAAAAAATGGGAAGAAAAAGGCCATGCATAATTCCATGAAGTTTTGGTTCACTCAAAATGACAACAGAAATTGCAAACTCTGTCCCTCCTGTCAAACAACCCTAGAGGACCAAAGTAAACCTCTGAACAGGTGCCACTTACAGGGGTCACCACCAGAGATGGGGGTAAGCCTTCAAGCGCTCTTTCAAACCCCCCAAGCCTGGAGGCAGTCAGAACATGAAGCGTCGGTTCATGACCACCTCAAGTCATGTGTAGGGCTACAGCGTAAAGCATGAATGCAGGAAGACTTAGGTGACTCACGATTAGGAATGGTTTTGCAGAGTCTTTCACTTCCAGATCCCAAATCAGCCCACTTCGGCAGCAACGAACAGTTCTTACCACCTAGAGGCCATTAGATGGCTCAGAGAAAATTAATCGCCTGCATTGTTCCAGTTTGTAGTGAATAATTACCACAAAAATTAATCTGTCATTGTAATTAATATCATCAGGTAGTCTGAAGAGATCAAAAGGCTGAAACGTTGCAGAGAATACGCTTACCCTCTGAAGGTGTCCCTTATACTTTCCAGGTTGGAAGCACATCTCTTAGTGCAGTCCAGGAAGCTCTTGTGTCCATTTTCTGTGCTTTTGGGCCTCAAATATCCTTTTGTTTCAGCACAGTGTCTTCAGAAAGCAGTGAAGATTTGCCAGCCACATTTGAGTAAACATTATAAATGTGTTAATCTGCTTTTTTTTTTTTCTCCTCCCCACTGTCACATACATTTCTAAATTCTTGATCTCATACTGAGCACTGGTAAACTTTTCCGCAGTACCTTTTGCGAGTGACAGGCAATCTGTATAAAGGCAAACAGTTATTTTTGTACTCCCATTATGCCTAACAGTTGTGTTGATGGCAAACAGCCGAACCAAGTTGAACACAGGGGAAGCAACCAGCAGGGAAAAAGCTCCTGCAGAGAAAACTCTTATTGACACCTCATGTTAATCAACAACACTTGGAAAGAAAGCAAAGAGCTAGCAATGCAGTGGTTTAGCTAAAATAAATAGGATTGCTTGAGGGGGTTTATTAGAGAGACACTCAAGTGCTACCCAGACTCGGTTATGAGCAGGCACAGGTCCTACCTCAGCACAGCTGGAGCCCAGCGTCCATTGCTGATGTGCAAACATCACCCGTGGCCGGCAGAAAAACAGCATTTCTCTGGGCTGGGCCATGCTTAACTGCAATGAAAATGGAAAAATCTCAAGCATTGAGGAATGTAATGAGGAAAGGCACAAAATGTCTAAAAGGTGTCAGAGCAGTCCACAAGTAATGATTAAGTGAAGCACAGCAGGAAAAACATTTCTTAGGAAGAGTGTTCATAGGCTAGGAAGTTTGGTTGGTTTTTTTTAACTTGGTTGAAAATTAAACAAACCGAAGCAAACTTTAACAAGTTTGTTAGTTTGCTATTGAAAGTTTGCTCTCAGTTATTTTCTTTCTGCTCTGAGGGAAGTTTATTGAGCAGTCCACAAGTAATGATTAAGTGAAGCACAGCAGGAAAAACATTTCTTAGGAAGAGTGTTCATAGGCGAGGAAGTTTGGTTGTTTTTTTTTAACTTGGTTGCTTCGGTTTGTTTAATTTTCAAACTTTAACAAGTTTGTTAGTTTGCTATTGAAAGTTTGCTCTCAGTTATTTTCTTTCTGCTCTGAGGGAAGTTTATTAATTCCCAGAGCCTGCTCCTGCTGTCATTTGAGTCAGCGACCAAGTCTTTGAATGGCAGAAGGATTGCATTTATACTGAAAAATCTATAAGCACAGGCAGACTGACTGAAACCGTAACTCCGTTAGGTTGCTATAATATAGACTCTGTCTCTTCACTGGAGTCAGCGTATATCCAGGTAAATCCATGAGGGCACTAGGTGAGTACCGTGTCATTTGGACACTGTGTGACTGTATGGTCTGACATTAAGTCTTTCAGTATTTATTCAATAAGCCTGCTACCTAGCCCACACGGTAGGATTGATTGTTTACCAAAGGGGAAAACCCCAATGTGATGCCCGGGACTCTAAAAAAAAAAAAAAAAAAAAATCTCATCATTACAAATAATAACAATTTCCTCACAAACCATGGGCAGAGGCAGTTTGGACGCGGCTTGTGCGTTGGGCAGCACGGGGAGCATGAGATAGTCGTGTTCTCTCTTGCTACCCAGAGCACGATTGAGAGAGAAAATGTTTCCAAGCCTTCCAGACAGGCTCCCTGTAGATGACAGGCTTCGTCCTGAGGAGGCAAAAATGGAAATAATGAAAAGGTCCAGTGGAAGGCATTGATTAGAAGAGCATCCTCGTGTCATGGGGAAAAAATAATGGAACAAGAGTAAAGCCACCACAGCGGATTAAGTTCACTGCGCTAAGCGTCCATCTCGTGAGGGGAAAATATTAATCACGTGTGTTGCCTTTTCTCCCCCCTCTTTCCCCAGGAAATGTGACTGGAAACAGTAACTCCACCTTTATCTCAAGTGGACAAGTAATGAATTTCAAGGGCGACATCATTGTTGTCTACCTTAGCCAAAACTCCCAGGAGGGGGCAACGGTCTCGGGGCCGAGCGAGGAGAACGTGGGCAGCCCCGTGCAGGAGGAAAACCTCATCCGCTGCGAGACTTTTGCCGGCAATGCCCAGCACTACAAGGAGAAGTGTGCCGAGCTGCAGGGCGCCTGCCCGGCAGCAGGGAGCAGGGGGCCGCGGCAGACCACCGGACCCCTGGCCCAGGAGCGGGGCCCGTCCTGCTGCGGCCAGGCCTCGCAGCCTGTGCAGGAGGAGGGGAAGCTGGGACACTTCTCGGAGAAAGTGTTGAATTGAGGCGAGCCGGTGTCCTTCCTGTGGGCCGGGGCGCTGATGGGCAGCCCGTGAGAGGGTGTGGGGCTGCCACGGGGCTGCTGAAATCCCGGGTGTCGCGACAGATTCGGAGACTGTTGCTGCCCCTGGTGTCTCCCGGGAAATTTTACAGCTGGAAAGGACCCTTGTGGCGCACGTGCCGGTGGTGGTGGTGCTATCGCTGAGGAGGTTACCAACGGGGACAGGCACACGTGTGAAGCTGGGCGTGCTGCCCCCGTTGCAGAAGCAGTGGCAGGGCTCTCTCCTCTCCCTCACGGGGCGGTAGGCTCCCCGCCTGCCCCCCACTCCCTGGCACCTCTCCCCAGCAAGCGGCAAAGGAGAGTTGAGAAGATCCTTCAGACCAGGGACTTTGCAAGGAGGAGAGCAGCATTGCTGGCCGGGTGCGCGGGGTGCTCCCGGAGAGGGGATGATATGGCAGAGGACCGCACTGAAGGGTGCCCCTGAGCTCCGCCTTGGGGTTTTCTTTTTGCAACTAAGCTGCACCTGCTTGGCTGGGTCTTGGGCCTCCTCGATGCCTCTGGTGCTGGAAGGAAGCAGAAGCCATGTCTGCCGCTGAGCCTAGAGCCGCTGCCGACCTTCGCCTCCCCATGGGGATCAGGCAGGTGGTGTCAGCCTTTCCCATCTTTCCCCAAGGGAGCAGATGCTCCAGTCTCAAACCAGCACCAGAGCCAAGATCCTGGTCTGTCCTTTATTAACTTGTGGGTATGAATAGGTGTAACGCTGCCCCAAGTGCACAACAACAGGCAAAATAGAGCTGATATGCCTTACAAGCATACCAGATTAATCCTGAGCAAAGAGCATTTGTAGTTTTGGACACTGATTCACCTCTGCCTTATTGCACCTCACCAGAGGAATTCAAACCCCTGAAGATGAGTGATGTGTACCCGGCACGCTGCTGCACGAATAATGTCACTGAAGTTTAAGACACAGAGCTGTGGGAGGTGGAGCAGGTGGAGGAAGGGTCTATGATAACCAGCTGTGGACATTTCCTGAGTGACAGGAGAAGGAGGGATTACCCAAAGAGGGAGAATTTGGTCAGGGTCAAACACACATTCCTTCATCTGCCCAAACAATTTTGTCATTCCCTCTGATATTTTCATTAGTAAGCAGAGCTTTACTTAGGTAGCGTGAAGCTATTTCCAGAACTCAGCCTGTCTGAGCTGAAATCAGAGCGTAGTCACTGTCACGCTGAGAGCTGATAAGCAACGGGACCAAAGGGTTGGATTTAAAGAATAATGGTAGTTGTAGTTAAAAGGGAGTCTCAGCTACTCAGTTGGCTTTGGTTCAGGTCCTGTATCCTGCAGCCTCCTCCAGCAGCCACTGTGGAGAGAGAGGTGAAGGGAACAGAGACTCAAGGAACTCTGAAGAGGAAAAGATAACATTTTTAATGATTTCCTGACAAGGGGTAATTTTCTGACATTCTCCTGCACATGTGAGCATTGCAGGAGGCTATCTTCAGTCTGAGCCTTCAGGAAGGTCAGTGCTGTGTTTCCTGTCAGACAGCAAAGGGATCTCTTATCTAGTGTGATCTCATCTGCCCTGACGGAAAAAATTTCTGGTAAGGAGGGCTCCTCTCCGGGGAGGTTTTTAAAGCTGAGGCGTTCACTGCGTAGCTGCTCTGTTTGCAGTAGTACTGCTCTGCGGGTGAAGAGCACCTATAAAGCTGACAAAGTGACCACTGTGTCATGTTGAGCTTCTCATCCATAAAACAAAAGGATGGGCTTAGCCACCTTCACCTCTCAGGAGAACAATTCTGCATTATTTATATATCTGGTATATAAAGTTCAGCACAGACATGCAAGACTCTCTCTTGGGTGGCTGGCAAAAATGGCGCATGAACAACCAGTCTCCCTTTCACCTCTGCATGGCATTCAGAAAACTAGACCATCCTAGCCTAGACTTGGCCGGGCAGGTAGGTTGTCCCTTTCAGTGATGGCCCAAGCTACCTCTGCTTCTTTGAAGGTGCGTACCTGAGGCGCTCTCTTATCCGTGGTATTCTTTTGTCTTTCCTGCTGGATCCTTTAAGAACCTCTTTCTAGCCTCTTCTGGCCTAATTCTGTATCCTCTAGGCATTGGTGCAATAGGGACAAGGAAATGGAGCCTTGCATCACGTTCATGCAAGGTGGTGCAGATATTTTCCCACTTCATTTTTTGAGTCATATTTTCCTGGAAAGCATTCAACCAGCCCTGCTTACAGGGCAGAGGGACTGAATTCTTGTACTTGGCTCTGGGTAAACTACCTGTCTGCAGGTCTGTCTCCTCCTCCTTCTCCCTCTGCAGCTTCTTTCTTCCCATGGTTTGTATCTGCCACCAGAGAGCAGGCTCAAAATCCTGATTTCAGAGAAGACAATGGGAAGTTTACTACGTGTCCTCAGTGAGGACACGTTTTTCACTCGCTGAATCACAGGATCCTACTGAGCAAGGATTGAAACTAGGATCATCAGCAAGCACGAAGAAATGGGTCATCATTATCTCAGCACTGTGGCCACTCACTTATGGGAAATGCAATGTGCCAACAGATCAGGTTCTTTTTCTTCCTCCAGAGTCTACCCAAAAGTGAAGAAACCATATCACACTCATCAGCATGCTGCACGTTCCCTGGGTCTCTGCCTGGCTGCTTAGACATGGACCCCAAAGGGACTTCTTTATCCTCATGATTTAATTTGTCGTCAGTTTGGAGCTGGGGCTGTTTTTTAACATCTGTTTGTACAATGGGGCCCTATGCATTGGGCACTAATTTGGAGGCTTCTGGCTGCTATTGTAATACACATAATTAATGATAATAAAAATCTTAAAGATCTACCTGAGTGAAGGTTTTATACAAATTAATGAAGAGAATCAAATACATTATTATATGCCCATGGTCATTTTGACCAAAAAAAAAAAAAATCAAATGTGAGTATAAAAACATTCCTGGTTAGGCCTTTGTAACATTTTTTGTTATGTAGAATTGTTTTAACAAAAAGTGCTTCCCTTCCCCAGTATGTGCCACAATAATGCACAAGCACATCCACGCACACACGTGGAACCAAACAGGAGCTCTCGCGGATCTGCTGTGGTAATGCTTTACTGCTGAGAACTGGGCACTCATTCCAACTCGTTCCTGAAGTCTCCTCCTGCACAGCATGCGTTTTTACAAGTCTTCCATTCTGAGCCGTCACAACATGCATTATCCACAATGAATATATTAGGTGCTCTTGAAACGCAGCCACTTCAGGCCTGGAAAGGGCAGCAGTAATTCTGCATATAACCATGGGAAAATGAGGAGCAGTCTTTTGCTCAAGGGCACTGGAGCAGCCCTTCTTATCCCCATGGAAACAATATGGCATTAAAGATCAATATAGACAATAACTGCTGTTAAGCTGTGTACTTTGCTACATGTTCACACAGAGATTGGAAATCACTCTGCAAGGCTTACAGCATACCTGGGAGTAGTATCACTAAAATGTCGTAATTTCTACTTGTTCATTCAGGTTCCCTTCCTTTTATCGTATTGATGGTATCTGAGCAACCACACCCCTGTGTCTATTATAAAACAGAACCCTGCTGAAGGATGTCTTTGTGCTAATCAGGTATTTAATAGAGCTACAGTTCTATCAGATACTTCCATTCAAATTAGGCAGTAGTGCCCCCTCACCACCACCCTTAAAAGCCATCTACAACAATTGGAGAATTCACTTCTGCCAGCACATGATACTGGACATGGTAAAATGGCTGCAAATTCTTCGTGTGGAAAAGTTATTTCTGGAGTATGCAATATAGCATATTGCAGCTTATTAATAGACACTTAATAATAGTCACTGGAAAATTGAAGTGTATTTGACCAAGCTGTCCAAGGTTCCTTGCAAGGAATGCTGAACCACTCCAAACCTTATAACCTAGTTTTCCAAACCTCCTTCCAAATGGCTGTTGCCCTTTTCAGTCCATCAAGGATACTTTTGACCCAAAAGGCGCATGCTAGGGCAACCTCCTCACAGCCTGCCCAGGGCGCTGCTTTGCAGCGCTCTCGCTTGGAGGCGCAGGCACCACAGACCTCTGTCTTGCAGCATTTGGCCTATGAGGATTCCCACCTCATGCCACCCAAGATGCTAAATGCCAACGATTCGCATACCACCTGAGCTGCAGTGGTATCTCCGGAAAAATCCAACTGGTAATCTTGGGGCAGTCGCAGTCACTGCTGAAGCAAGGGGCATACCATCTCAGGTGCTGATGGGAACGAGTCCCATTTCAGACCAAAAGATGGTCGTGAAATGTGTTTCTCCTCTCTTCCTCTTGCCTGGTGCTGTTCTAATATTCAGAATGAGAGTGAATCATTGCTATACAATAAATGATTTCTCCCAGAGCTCTGCCATACAAGTTTACTCTGCCTTTGTGCTGCAGCATCAATCACCTTGTTGAGCGGGAAGATTGAAGCAGAAAACAAAACACATAGGAACAGCTCCTTAACATCCCAGTTTATTTAACCTGATTCCATGGTAAAAGGTACTACTTTACGTATGACTGCTGAGTCCACGTTAGCAAGATGTTGTAAGGGGCAAATCAAAAAGCAGCATTCCTCCCCCCAAATCCAGAGGAGGAACTGCTGCTGTTTAAGTGGTGTTGCTGATCGTACATGGTATCCTTACCTGAGGAGATGGTGCAGGAGAAATTCTTCTCCTTTCTTCCTTTTTTCCTGTTCTTGCAGGGTTTTTTATACCTTCTTACTTCCTTCCCACCTTCACCGTGTATGGGATGATTTACCTGAGCTGAAACTATGTTATTTTCAGTCTTTGTTATGCCTTCAAACCCATTCTACCCAGCCATCGAGGCTGCACTCCTCGATGGGCAATGTGCAGTTTTTGCATGTACCTTCAGAGGCCTTTGCTGTCATCCAGTGTTTGTACCCTAGGGGCTCCCCATGAGGATCCCCGCCCTTGACAGACACTAGCAGATACCTGCGTTTCCCATTGCTCTCACTTCAGTAA